TCTCAACCTGATCCATCTCACAAGATGGTTGTGAAGATGCAATGGAGGGAGAAACCTTGTATGTTACTTTATGCTGCTTGGAGGAAATGCAGAGTAAAAATTTAGAAAATAAATAAATGTAGACCTCTAGAAACCTGGGTTTATATTTCATGTCAACTATAAGCTTATAGTCCTTTGCCACAGGATGTGGTGATGGCATCTGGCCTAGATGCCTTTAAAAGGGGATTGGACAGATTCCTGGAGGAAAAGTCCATCGCAGGTTAGAAGCCATGATGGGGATGTATAATCTTCTTTAAAAGGAAGTGTGGCAGAACCCCCACGTCATGCCTGTCCATCATGGGAAGCTCAAGGGCAGGAGCCTATGAGAGGACAGGAGGGGCGGAACCAAAAGGACAGTTAGCCTCCCCCTTCCAGTCCGTAGGCCACCAATCTGCCTCCGGGTGCCTTCCAGGGCTTCTCCACCGCCATGGGAGGCATGTCAGAGGTCCCCCCCCCACAGCTGATTGTGCTGAGGGGGAAGTCCAGGAATCCGAGCATGGCCAGGATCGCCCGGCGCAACTCAGCTCCCAGCAGTGGTGGCAGTGGCGGGGGACCTCCGGATGCCCTCCAGGGCTTATGCACCACCATGGGAGGCATCTTGGGGGTCCCCCCACCGCTGCCGATAGTGCCTCCGAAGCACGATCGGTGTTGGGGGGGACCGCCGAGAGGCCTCCCATGACGGCGGGGAAGGCCTCCAGAGGTTCCCCCCAGCCGACGCAGGCTTTCCCAGGGTGGACTGGGCTTACCAGGGGAGGGCTTCCCCCAATAGGCCCGGTCTACTGCCTGGGAAAGCCTGGTAGACCAGGCCTATCAGGGTAGGGCTTCCCCCAGTAGGCCCAGTCTACTCCCCGGGCTTTCCTGGGCAGTGATTTCGACATCATGTGGGGTAAGGGTCTAGCGGGGCACCACTGTAATTATCTTTTAGACACTCTCAGCCCAGCTACTTTAGTGGTGGAGGAAACTGCCACTAAATAAGAACTATACTGGAAATTTCCTGTTGCTTTTGGTTTTTTCCTGAGAAATCACTGTACACGTGTTAAAACTCTATAATTGGGATGGGGCTTAGAGTTCCATAATGCTGAGTTAAGTTAAGCCAGAGTGATGCTTGCAAATGTGTATGTTTCCCTGTGTACGCTCAAAACAGTTTGACTGCGAAGCACTATATATTCCCTCAGTATGCTGATCATCCTTTAAAGAGCGAGTCATAATTAGCTTCTTTATCACACTAGTAGGGTGCTCTGAATTATAACTTTATTAAGCACCAGAATCAAAGATTAAAAGGGTATTTGTAGCACTGTGGCTAACTAGATTGAGAAAAATGAATCCATGTGGTTTCAGATTTATGAAAATAAATACATTGATTTAAATCAGAGCAGTAGTTTACTCTTGGCTCTTTAGCCATCATTCTAATTGTCATTCAGTAATTAGTTTTCCCCTTTATTGCAGCCAATTACTTAAAAGTGAGTGAGAAAGAGAGGGAGGGAGGATGAGTCATAGTGAATTGAATTCAAATTATAATCTGTCCTCTCTCCATTTGTAGAATGAATATAAATGGAACAGGGGTATTCTTAAAACATGCATAAAGTTAATTTGCATAAATATGTGTAAAAAGCGCAGGTTTTTAATAGTACTGGGACACAGGGAAAAGGATCTCTCTTTGATCCAAAGTATTGTTGTATCTGTTTGAGAGGAAGGTGCAACCTTTTGTGTGTTGATCCAAGTCCACTTCCCAAACTAAATATTTACGCAATCTCACAGTGCGGGAACAGGATGGATAGATCTGCTCAGTTAGGTTTAGGATGGATTTATATGTTGTAGGAGTGGCTCCTGTTTGAATATTCACTGGTAAACATCAAACCTGACCATCTGGAAGGAGCTCCAGTGTTGAAATAGTACCACATATATTATATGTGGCCGCAATGGTGCGGCTAAAAAATATTGTAAATAAATAAAATAAATAAATAAATAAATAAATACACTAGCCAACACTACCACCAGCTCGAGAATTCTAGAAGATATGTTATATTATATTGTATTATATTATATTATATTATATTATATTATATTATATTATATTATATTATATTAAATTATATTATATTATATTATATTATATTATTTCTATACTGTCATTGGTAGTTTAGCACTAAGCTTCTACTTGTATCCAGTATGTAGTATTGTTGTGATTTCTGTGTGCATCTTATGTTCTTCTTAGACAAATCTCTGTAGAGGAAAACTCGCTGGGCTGGATTGGACCCATGGGTCAGAGGTTCTCCATGTAGGCAAACATGTATCTGAAAATGGATCATATTTTCAGCTTCCTTCGTCAGCTCAGTTTGCTTGTCCAGTTATCTTTTTAATTTGTAAATAAGTTCGATATTTTCCCTGTGAACTCTCTTTGAGTGTACCATATGTACTATCATATGTATTATCATCTTGCCAACCAAGTCATTTTGCACTTAGGTATTAGGGATTCCGGCTTCTGTACAGACATCCTAACCTAAAAGAAACATTAGCATCGATGTTTTTCTTTTTCAGTATAGTGAGATACTTCTGTGCAATTTTGTGCTTTATATATATAATATATAATAAAATTATAATAATCTTCCTCTTATTTTATATATATGGAATATATATAATCTGACTCTTCATGACCCCATAGACCAGAGCATGCCAGGCCCTCCTGTCTTCCACCGCCTCCCGGAGTTTGGTCAAATTCATGTTGGTAGCTTCAGTGACACTGTCCAACCATATCGTCCTCTGTCGTCCCCTTCTCCTCCTGCCTTCACACTTTCCCAACATCAGGGTCTTTTCCAGGGAGTCTTCTCTTCTCATGAGATGGCCAAAG